AAAAACCAAAGCATTTGGTGCCTGTACCACAGTGGTTACGGCATCAGCCACATGTACCAAGGCTGGTAGGTTCGAACCAGCCAGGGCCAGGTAAACAACAATGAAATTGCAACATAAAAATAGCTGGGCATTGTGGTGGGCGCCTATAGTCCCAGCTACTTGGGAGTGTGAGGCAAGAGAATCTCTTAAGCCCAAGAGTTGGAAGTTGCTGTGAGCTGTGATGCTACAGCACTCTACCGAAGGCGACATAGTCAAACTCTGTGTCAAAAAAAAAAAAAAAGAGTACCCACAGCAGCATGGATATGTGGGGTGGGAAAAGAGACTTAGATCATATTCTTCCCTCTATGTCTATAACATTCAAAAGTGGGGAGGGGCAGGCAGATGCTGAAAAGTATACTGGCAGGTGTCTTTTTGATTTCCTGATATTGAGGGCTCAGGACTACTAGACTATTGAGGAAGGTTAAGGAAGTTTGGAAAGGTTGGATTTGTGGGAAGTTAACACTTATCTGAAAGTCATCCATGATGACCCAGCATGTGTCTTTACTCCATTATTATGTAGATACATTCGGTAAAGTAGTTATTCAAAATCAAGAGCTGTCCCAGAAATCATTCAAGGAGCTTTTTCAATATATACATTCTTGGGTTCAAACCCAGACAGATTAGAACACACATACAATTCGATTAATCTAGTACCAAAACTGCAATATAATTATACTTCGAATAATCAAAAGTCAAATCCACTTACATTTTAACAATTTGTTTAGTGTAACGACATTCAGGTCAGGAGAAAAGCATCTAACTTATATAATTCTACATTTAATTAAATGAGGAACTTACCCTGTCATTCATTAGCAGATCTTTCACAATAAAATTTGCTACTACAGATTTCATTGGGGAAGCAAACTGATCTGGTGCTAACATAGAAATGTGGCCCAACGAAACTAATGGAGTTATAAGTTGTTCTGGTACATCAGCATTCAGACTCCTACTGAGAGGCTATAAAAATAAAACAGACAAAATCACCAATTTGTTTCATAAATATATATTCTATGGAAACAATAAATTTTCCTGAGTCCTCCTGAATTTATCATGCCCAAACCAATCTGTTTTAATGATAAAATTATAACTTAAATCATATCAGACATGTGTTTAATTTACCAACTAAATTTTATAAGACTCACAAAATGTAGCAAAAAGAAAAAATATACAGCTTAAGTAAAAGTAAAAACAAGAATGTTTCTGATTGATCAAATCAGCATTATTTTCAACTCATCTACAACAAAATGTCTACTGTGTTAGTGAACTTCTTATCCTGTGGGATATCTTAAATGAATTAGAATTACAAAAATAAGGAATCATATGTAAAGAAAGGGAAACAGGATTAATTTTCAGGTAGGATTGTTAAGTACTTTCAACTTATTTGTTCAAAGCCATCCAGATAAACGGACAACTGAGAGTAAAAGGCTAAAATTAAGTAAAATGTTCCAACACAAACACACATCCTTCATTATGAAGCATCTGAACATATAACCTGATTCAAAGGCTGGAAATACATTGCTGAATAAAATAGAATCCCTGCTCCCAAGGAATTTATATTCTAGGGTAGGGCTACCTATAAATAGCTTAAAAAAAAAAATCTAGCTTTCATCTTCATCAAACCACAGAGCTTTAAAAAATAAAGACCAATATAAACACATCCTATGTATTATATATACCTCAAAAATCTGTGCAAGCTGGACTTCTTTATTTGTGAATATGGCGTGTATACAGTGCACAGCCTGTTTTGCTTGGTGTGGAGTACCCCTCTTTGCTTTTTGATGTAAAATGGGAATTAAGGTCCTGCAAAAAATAATATAGTTTTTTTTTTTTTTAAGTCCATAAACCAACAAGTATTCTCTCGGTTGTCTCCCATTTCCCTATCTGAATGTATGTTGGTAGAGAAGCATCTCTTAAAATTTATCAGTCTGTAGAAAGATTTAAAGCTCCCTCTCTGTTCCGAAAGCAAGAAATACAATGCCTCAAGAAAAAGGCTACTTGAGGAAAACGATTTTCATTTTAAAGCTACCTCATGAATATGGAAAAAGAACAAACAAGCCACCCCTTAATTTATAATCTAAAGCTCGTCCGATGACATATTTTTTACAATTACTCTCTAAGTAGATATTCCTAATTTTGCAGTTTCCCTCAGTTATTTCAAAGCAGTCATGGAAAAAGAATAGCAAAAGGCCAAGTTTTATTAAACAGCTGAAATGGTAACAGTGAAATAAAGTATACAAAGACACACATATATTTAGTGGTAGAATGGTAATAATACTATCTAAAGATATCAACACTTAATAACAAAAATATCTAATTGTTGATTACATGTGCCAGGCATCATTCTAGGTGTTTTTTAAATGGATTAATCCAAGTAATGTTCACAACTATCCAAAGAGGACTACTGTAATAAACCATTATACAGTGAGAAAACTAAAGCACAAAGATGGTATTTAAGCCTCCTAAGATCACAAAAACAGGAAATGGTAGAGTTGGGATTTAAAGATAACCATTTGTTTCAAAACCCAAAGTATTTGAAAACTGTCTTCCTACAGAGCAATGTGAAAAAATATTTAGTCTTAAAATGTTAAATGTGATGAAATGGAAAAACATTAGGTAGAATGAAGAAAATAATTTGTTTATATGAACCTATAAGAGACACACAGATCAAGTACATGAATAACCATTATTATAGATCTTAAAATGTTAATAGTGAATCTTTTTATTTTTCAATTTTTAGTTTTTTTACAATGAAGTATTTATAGTCAGAAGAAAATTTATAAAGCAAAATAAAAATTTAAAGAAAGATACCTGTCATGCACTTAATACAATTAGAACAAATCCTATTTTATAGATTAAATTGATAGTATCAAATACACTGGTGACATTGGTTCTCTTATGATAATGGAAGGCTAGATATGAAAAGCAATACCGCAGGCCCCAGGCCATGCACCTTAACTCAAAACTGGAATATACGCTAGTTAGTGTAAGTTTGATTTGACAAATGTGACTATGCCTCAAGTTTTTCCGCACAGATATTTGGAACTAGGATAGGGGGTTTCTGTGCTCAATTAGACTTCCTTAACTGAGACTTGACTGGGCTTCTAAATAAAAGTTGTCTTTCCTCTCACCTGTTCAGTCTTCCTTTCACAAACTCATTTATCAGAGTAACATTCCTTATAACACTGGTGAGTAGGCAAGTAAGACATAATTTTAATAAAACTGTTATTAAATGCATCATTAACTTTCAGTAGTCATATGAAGTGACAGAAGAATCAACTTCAACCTATTTCTTCCCCGGGTGCTAGAATCCGATGATGCTATCAAGGTTGTGACCAAGGTGCTCAGTGTTGTGCATTTTTGCTTTTATCTTCTTTCTTACCCACTAGTCTATTGGTCTCCAGAGGTTTTATTTCTTATGTAAAAAGTTAACTCACCTATAGCTATCTTTCTATTGCTTCCTTTGGAACAGAATTCCTTTAAGAATAGATCCTTTGCCTTAAAAAATGTATAGGTTTTCCTACCTTGAAAAACTCACCAGAAACTTTATCCTACTGTGCATAAAGTTTATTATCTCTAGACTATAAACTCCTTGAGGGCAGGGACTGACTGTGGTAATTCTGTTGTATTAGCCAGTACAGTGCTGAGAATGAAGAGAATGTATAATAAATATAGAATTATTTCACAAATTAAACTATTATCTCACAAATTTAATTAAAACTTTAGCAGTCTACTTGTCCCATTATCTTGTGAAGAAAAACCAGTATGCGTTTGGATACACCATGAACTACTTGCAGCTTCCACAGCAATCAGCAATGTGTTCTTCCTCTAACAGATGTCTTCTACATTTTTAAATTCTAAGCACAAGGTTGACCCTAACCTCTTTAAAATTCCAAAGTAAAATAGCAAAATGTACTTCATTCTTATAAGGGGATAGAAGCCGATGGAGAGGAAGAGATCAAAGTACCAAACTCCACAACTGTATAACTAATGCTTTATATTAAGCACACTATCTGACTGCCTTGTTCTCTGGTAGATTAAGAAGGTGGTAGTTACTGAATTTATAATCCAGAGAGAAAAAAAGATGAATATACACAGATTAGAAATTTGTATTAATCACAAATATAAGAAAACACTAAATTTCAAGATAACTTTTAATTATTAATAACTTTCAATCATTTTGTTATAAATAAATAATTTCAGTTTGTTATTCTGCCTACATTCTCATGGTGGGGGAAGAATGTTGAGTCAAGAAATAGATAAAATAAAAGAGGATACAGAAAAGTAGCTTCTAAATAAAAGGTGTCTTTCCTCTCTCCTATCTTCCTATGTTAAAGGAAAACAACAATTCTATGACTCCCACACTTAAGAGCTTGTGTTTACTAAGGGAGAAAACAATACTCACGATCGTATTTGGGGAAGGTCTGTTTCAATTTTGTGGCCAGTATTTCTAAAAATCTGTATGGCAGCTTCTGCCACTTTGTCATCCTCCATTCTTAGGCACTGTAACAAGGACTCATATGTCTCTGCAGAGTGGAACGAGGTAGGATGTGTGAAAGACAGAACCTAGAGGAATAGATATAGCTTTAGAAATACAGACAATGGTTTTAATTTATTGAAAAATGAGATTTACTTTTGCAATAAATAAAATTTAAAATTCCAGAGTACATATGCTAGTTGCACAGAACAGAGATTACATCTGTCTGCTTCCCTTGCTGGATCTAATGAGACATTAACAGAAATACTGTGCGGTAGCTTCCAGGTACTTCCTGATACACAGCCTTTGCCCTATTTTCTTCTTTACCTCGCTATTCTGCTACATGGCATGCAAAAAACACAGCGTTTTTATGAAGTGTGATCTCCAATATTAATCACTATTATCAGTTAAAAAATATATTGTTATTTAGGGGAATGAATGTGTAGTTGAAATAAAAACTTTATACTTAATGACTCAACTTTTGTGTAGTGTAAACCAAAATCCTAACCCAGAGCTTTATTTGAATGGCAACAAGAAAAACTATGAGAAAGTATGTTAAATGAAATCACAAAAAGTCCTCTCATAATAACTATCAACAAAGACACTGAGCAGTTTTAATTAAGATCACAATATAGAACTGTTCTTATTATGACAGGAGCCTCAGCTTACCCTGAAAGAATTTTAAATATGTTACATATGGCATGTCTACAAAGTTTACCTTCCAAAAGTATATACAACTCAGTTCAGGAGTAAGGGCTTAAAACTACAGAAGCAGGGAGAAGAGGGAATTGAGCAGTAACTTAATTCAATAAGGATTTATTTAATGAGTCATAAAATGCAGAGGCTATCTCATTTTGTGAGGCTTAAAATGATATTTAGCTATATGACTGAAGTTATTTACAAAAGTATATCTGAAAAGTGGAATGAAGAGAAACCTATTAAAAACATGTAGCTTGCGGATGGCACCCACAGCTCAGTGGAAAGGGCACCAGCCATATACACCAAGGCTGGTCGGTTTGAACCCGGCCCAGGTCAGCTAAAACAACGACAACTCCAACAACAACAACAACAACAAAAAACAGTCTGGGCTCGGCACCAGTGGTTATGGCACCAAACACATACACGAAGGCTGGCAGATTCAAACCTGGCCTAGGCCAGCTAAAATGATGACAAATGCAACAAAAAACAGCTGGCTGTTTTGGTGGGCACCTGTATTCCCAGCTACTTGGAAGGCTGAGGCAGGATAATCACTTAAGCCCAAGAGTTTGAGGTTGCTGTGAGCTGTGATACCATAGCACTCTACTGAGGGTGACAGAGTGAGACTCTGTCTCAAAAAACCAAAACAAAACAGTAGCTTCACTTTTAAGCCTACTTAAAAACATAACTCACAATTATTAAAAATATAATAAAAATCTT